ATTTCTCATTCCATAGTAGTAAACAAAATGAAATTTGATTTCAACTGTTTACAAGGGGAAGCTTAGGAGCCTAATTGGAATATTTTACTATTTTGGGGTTGGATTTGATTTGTTTTGTTTTGTTTTAGCGGTTTCTGTCTTTTGTTTGTCCTGTTATACGTCACCTTCCTGATTAATACCTTTTTATGGATTGAATTCTGTCTTCCTTCACATAAGAAGGTTCCCATCAAATGATATTTACATTAATCACATCTGGATTTATTATTTTTCTCTTTTTACATTGTCTCAGATGCTTAGAGATAAGGATGAAAATAAGTGGTTTGACATAATTTCTAACATGATAGAGGAGACAGGCCATGGCTGTCAAGGGAAGTGACAGCCACAGACAATACACATTGCTTTGTTCTTCCCTTCAAAGCCTTTGGTTCATCTCTACCATTTCACTCTTGATTACATACCAGATACCTGTCTCAAGTAGAGTTACTTTATGACAAGCAGGTTTCTCAATAGATTTACTTTTTGTACAAGAATCATGTCATGTGTGTACAAAAGCACTGGTCTAGCACCATTTTTTCAGGTTTGCTCCTATTTGGGCTTTCTGTGTGCTTTTGGATTTTATCACTCAGGAGAGGAATTATCACTTTTCGGTTTAGCTGTGACACCTGGTCTTCCTTTCAGAGCACATGGAGAGAGTAGGGGACCCCCAGAAATGTCTACCCTGGGAGATTTACCCCCTAAGTACCTGTAGGTTGCCCACATTGCAGCAAAGCCACATGGTGATTTCACAGCTACTGTGATAGTAAAATGACTGGTTATATGCCCTGACAAAGTAGTACTTCCTTTTCTCAGTGAAGAGGCACAAGTCTATAGGTTGCTCACTATCCAGACAATGCACTCATGGACCAAAGTTTTTCTAACTTTGGCCTTGAGCCACAGGGGAGGAGGGTTACTCTGAACTCAACAGTTTCAGCTGTGGAGTGCACTGTGATACTCCTACAGTGTACTCTAGATTTTGTGGGCACAGAGTCTAACAAATCCTGCAGTTGCTAATGCAACCTGCCAGTGCCTGGGCACACATTTCTGCAGTAGGCATCACCACAAATGCCTTTTTTTCCTTTCTTTCTGTCAGTCTGTAGGATTTCTGTGTCAGTGACTGATGGTAGTATTGGAACTGTTTCTTGAAGCCAGAGGCAGAACATGGCCAGGAGAAGACAACATCTCACATCAGACACCTTTGCCTTGGGAAAACCCTCTTGTGCAGTCTTTCTCACATGACACCCCATTTATTTATTTATTTGTGCTGGTATTCCTAGAGGAAAACTGTTTCCCAGTTGCCTTAATGGTTCTTGGCTATCGTAACGCAGAATATAATGTTACCCAAAAAAAGTAAGTTATGCCTGAAAATTAGTGTGCTTGGGTGTGCAAGAACACAGGCATTCTACCTAAATCCTATTCCTCTCAGTGATGCTGAGTTTCTTCTTTAGAGGTTGAGAAGACTGTTAAACAGATTTGTATGTTAGTGTAGCTCCAAGGTAAGTTCCATTCTGCTGCTAAAGTGTTATTCCTCATCTCAAGACAAAGTCTAAGAGTCTTGAATAAGAGGCCCCAGAGCACTGGGCCTCTGTCTAAGTACAATTAATCTTTGTTTCTAATGATATGAAGATATACAAGCTACTAATCATGTTTTAAATAAGTAAAAAATGGCACATGGAAGTTATTTAAATCACTTGAGATGGTGTTTGGCTGTTATTCAGCAGCTGACTGAAATGCATTCATTTTCTAGGTCTGAATTAAATACTTTCTGCTTCGCAGGCATAGGTTTGTGTGTTTTGTTTCTCAGTGGCATTTTTAGAAATTGGAGTGCTTGCTTGGGGTACTAAACTGGTTTCATTTAGAAGGCACAAGGATATAGTAATGAAAAGCTATTTTCTTAGGAAAACTGATAGCTGAATAAAGACTGTCTTGAAAGGAGAGAAAGTGCTTAATATTCATGGGCATATTTGATTTGACTTTTATGTTCTGTCAAAAGAAGCCCATTCTTCCTGCCTTAGACTTCCAAGAAAATTGCCCACTTAATTATCCAGTTATCATTTATTAGGCCAGGAAAACACATTAACAAAAGCTGTTTGTAAAAACTTGTAGACAATGATTACCCTGGAATTAATTCTGAATGAGATTTTCCCATCTAATTTTACTTAACTGTTTTAAGAAGTCTTTTATTTTGAGAGAAAAGCTCACTTACGACAAGCAAAATAAGCCAAAGTAGCACATTTTGTAACGTTTAAAAGTACCACAGTTCTGCACTTTCAAACCATGCAGTGACACTGATATAGAAGATGGTTCTCTGGCAACTCTGCAGTGAAAAGAGCAAGTGAAGTGTTAGCATTCAGCTGCTAAATAATAGCTTCAATTTTGAAATTAATTAGCTTAAATGTCCTTTTGGTTTGTATTGGTTTGTATTTTACCAGCTGATTTAGCAGATCAGATTATTGCTGTTATTCAAGTAACACCAAAAATATTTTTTTAGACACTTTCATCCAAAAACTAAAGGAACAAGCCCTTTCCTTAGTTGTTCAAACTCTAAATGTAAGTGTGATCTTCCTCTTTGAGGTAGAAGTGATGGAAAAGTGAAGGAAAACTGTTGCTGCAACACGATGGACTGGTTTCTTATGAAGGTGTAGCTCCAAAGGGCTCTCTACAGGAGAGCTGGGAAGCTTGTCTCCGCAAGGTGGAGAAGCAGCTCCTGGAGGAAATGGCCCCCAAGACACAACTCAGATATTACTAGTACAACCCTGTTTCAGCTGCAACAAGGAAAAGAAAGAATTAATCTCTCACTGCCTTTTCAGATGTTTGAAAAATCTCCGGAATCCTCTCTGCTGTGACTATCACTTGCCTCATTTGTAACCCAACATGGAGACAGCAGCAGAGCTTTGGTTAAAACACTCTTGGTGCATGGGTTTGGAGTAGAAAAATCTGCATGTGGTGTCTGCTCTCAAATCCAGGTTTTTCTATTGTGACTACACCTAGGAGTCTTGACTCTTTATTGCTGCTTAACCAGTTGGTTCTCATTACCTATGGCATATGATGTATTGCTGTATAACTTTCAACAGTCACTTCTCATAGATAATGGAGGCTATACTGGTTTATGATTTTAAATACTAGCTATGATCTGAGGGCAGATATGTCAAAATGGGCCTGACAGTAACTTTTCTCCTTAATAAAATGGAAAAAACTGTACTGAAAGACCAAAGCTGAAATAAGTCAGAATTTTTAAAGATAGTGAAGGTACTCAAGCACTGGAACTGTTTTCTTGGAATCACGATGGATTTTCTACCACTTGACCATGAGGATGGGAACTATCTGACCAAATCTTGACAGTACTGATGGATAAGCCAATCACCTTCTTTTCCCTTGACAGGCAATGTGGAGAGAGAGGCATACTGGGGACACAGTCTCTGTAAGTCCAGACTGGACAGTGAAAGTAGTCCCATGAATTGTAGGATGAAAGGTCCCCTTTTGCGCGATTGACTGTAAAGGAAGTTTTGGCCAAATGATTCATCTGTGAATCTTTGTTCTATAGGTATCACAAGTTATACAAAATGAATTGCACCCTAAATTTCTTCTTACCATACTGCCATAACTCAAGCTTGATGCAAGGGCCAGGGACAGTGCAAAGTTCTAATGCTGCTGTGATGCAGGAGCTCAGACTGCATCTCAGTTCTCCATTGAGGCAACCATCTGCAAGAGAAAATCTGTACCAGGAAGACCCCAAGATTGGCAGGAGCAGTGAAAGCTTAGCAGTACAGTTAGAAAAGTGGGCAATTTACCACCAGTATGGTGGTATCTTTCCGAAAAAGAAATGTCATTCTTCAAACAGTGATCATAGTGGAAACTCTAAGTTTAATTCAGTTCTCCTCCTTAATTAGATTGTTCTAGAGAGCTGGGTTGTCAAGGTCCATGGAGCAGAATATGTTAGTAAGGGGAAAGATAACAAAAAAGATGTCGATTTAATGCATTGACTAAAGAGTAAAATTATGACAGAAACCCAAATTGATACAAAAGTAAAAAAATTATTTGGGAAGCACTTCAACTGAAAAAAAAATCTCAGATGAAAATGTTTTATTTAGTAAATAGAAATAAAAGTAACAAATAAATAGCTACGCTCAAATGAAGCATTTATCATAATACCCTAGAATGGATTAATGCACAAATGTCTTGTTCTGTGGACTACACAAATGTGTAATGTTGTTACCTGTGTCAGAAGGGCTGTAGCTGGGTTTGCCTTTGTGTGTGTTCCCTGCTTTAAGAATAACGTTCATTGAACTAAGGAAAAAAACACAAGACATTCTGCAAGGTATTTCCAGCAACAAATCTGCAGATCCTCATTTAAGCCCCTCATAGAATATCTTGAGTTGGAAAGGACCCACAAAGATCATCGAGTCCATCTCCTGATCCTGCACAGGACAACACTTTGCTGGTTAAAATCTTCTAGTGTGCATCCAGTAACACAAGTAGGAACTTGTTGTATTTTTAGTTAAATATTTCCAAGGCTTTGTTTTAAATTATATTTGAGAGTCTTGACTGGTATATGTTATTCTCCATACTGCAGAGAAAGAACCTTCAAGGGATTTTTATCGTAATTTGGTAGCTGAGCTCTGCAACATAACTAGATCTCTCAAAAGACTGAATCATTTTTTCTTTGCTAATGATTCTTAATTTTCTTTTCAGAGGAAATAAAATTCATGGTGAAAATCATTCTTTATTAAATGACATTTGTAATAAGCTGGAACACAGAAAATGAGATTGAACCAAAACTTTTCCTTTTTTTCTTGTAGCAAACTGCTTGTTAAAATTCAGCCCTCTCCAAACAGTGACCATATGTATATGGTCTTTGCTATTCCTCATGTATTATCAGTCTTCCCAAAGCTGAGGCAAAGGAATAACTCTTAATAATTTCTCCCTTCTATTCCCTTTTGCTGAGAGGATTACAATTTCCCCTAAGAGGAAATGGAGTTTAAGGACTGCTAAAGCC